ATGCCCAATAATGACATAATTATAATAAAGAAGAATGGTAGAACCCATCCGAACGCTGTGGCCCAATCTTGGCCAAACAGAAGAGAGGAGAAAATGTAGCTCTTTCCTTTTCTTGTGGGTACAGAATGTTCTTTTCATTGTAATCCAACTTTAGTTGTTGTCTTGGTTGGTTTTTGCTTAACTGCTTTCATTTCTTGTAGGCCAAGCTCAGTGCATGGGTTAGTGGTGGTAATAAGTACCCAGGAATTACTGAAATTTTAAAAATAAAGGCACAATAAAACTTTAAGAAAAAAAAGGGGGCAGCTAGGTGGTGCAGTGGATAGAGCACCAGCCCTGAAGTCAGGAGGACCTGAGTTCAAACCCAGCCTCAGACCAAACACTTGATACTTACTAGTTGTGTGACCCTGGGCAAGTCACTTAATTCCAATTGCATAAAAAAAGAAGGGGGAAGGAGGGCAAACTGGCCCAGGTCAGAAATCGATCATATTGAAGATCCCATACCTGTTTATCAGTAGTGGAATGGGTCTGTGAGTAGTCCTTAAATGTCTAATCCGAGGGAGAAACCTCAGTCTAAAAAAAAAGCAAGGGGAGAGACCTGGGGCAAGCCCCAGGAGTGAGCAACCTAGAGAACAGAAACCAGATTTGGGTTTTCAGACATGTATTGGCCAGGCATCCTTACTTCCCTGTGTAACCAGACTCCGAAGATTATGTGGTGAGTGGAATCTCAGTCCTTCTTCCCCAGGATTGTTTTTATTCCTGTTTCCTCTTCTCTCTTAGGAAGCTGTCCAGACAAAAAAAAGTTTCTCATTTGGAGAAAGCCCCTACAGAGGAGAAGGTGGTGTTGGGGGTGGGGAAGGGCAGGAGAGTCACAAGGAGGTGAGAAAGAGGAGGAAAACACTGCCTAATGTTGTCACCAGTCCAATGACTTTGGTCAATTTGCCAGTATGGCACCTATAGGTCTTGTCGTCAATTTAAGTCATTCAATTAATGAATAACATTCGTGAAATTGCCTTCCTCTTCTCGGAGTTATCTCATGTGCTGAGACTGATCTGTGGATCACTAAAACTTGGTCCCTAACTTCAACGTACTTCCAGTGGTTTAAGGGTGAAATGATACTAAGCAACTAAAGGGAAGAGATAGAGCCATAGAATACTATGGGAGGCCCAAGGAAGGAAGCGAAGGAGGGATAAGCCCTCATGAGATGGTGGCAAATCTATAGACAGAAAGATGGCTCCCTTGCTGGAGACAGAGCTCTGCTAATTGACTCCGAGGCTATCGTTGGCTTCCCATCTGAAAGACGAGAGAGGAAGATGATATGTGGTGAAGTGGGACAAGAACTAGAGCCATAGGACCTAGGTTCAAATCCTACTTCTCATGTTTGCTAACTGAGTGATGTTGGGAACGTCACCTTCCTGACTCTCAGTTTCCTCCTCTGTAAAATGAGGAGGCTGGCCCAGAAGTCCTCTGAGGTCCTTTTCAGCTTCATCCCTGTGGTCCTCTGATCCTGACCTAGTCATGACTTGGCACCTCCAAGGAGGTTTTGAAGTTCACATTTTGAGGTGATTTTTAGGTTGAGGAGAGAGCTCAGGCTTGAGATCTGAGGTTGGGCCTTGTTTCCCCCCTTCCCACTGCACAATAGCTGGTACGGCCTTAGTTCCACATCCATCACATCAAGCAGAGATTACTACAGTAACCTGGTCTAGTACTTGGAGTCTGGAAATCCTGGGTGCAAAAAGGTGGTTAGGTGTCTCAGTGAATAGAGTGTTGGACTTGGAGTCAGGAAGACTTGAGTTCAAATGTAGTTTCACATACTATGTGACCCTGGTCAAATCACTTAACCTCAGTTTCCTCTTCTGTAAACTACAGATAATAGCAGTCCATATTTCCCAAGGTTCTTTTGAGGATTAAAATGAGTTCATACTTGTAAAACACTTCTCAAATGTTATACCATTATGTAAATGTTAGCCATTATTATTGTTAACATCTTCAATAACAATAATAACTAAGTTAACTTCCTTGCAAAGTTTTTTTGTTGTTGTTGTTTTCATCTTGAAGTGTAAATGGGGATAATCTCATCTGTATTACTTTCTGCATAGGGATTTTTGGGGGTGAATATGGAATGAGATAACATGGGTAGAACCCTTTGCAAACATGAAGACAATGCATCCATTCCAGGCATTGTTATTGTTCTTGACCTCCACTCTCCTAGCTCCCCTATCTGGCTCTCTCATTGCCATTCACGAAATCTTCATAAAACTCTTCTTTCATCCGGGTACTTCGGAGAGGACTCATTCACTTAATAGCTAAGAATAGTTGCCCATTGCCCGCAACATCCAATGAAACTTTGGCACCCCCACCCCTCATTCCCAGGATGTGGTTTCCCATGCTTTATCTAGCTCTACCCTAATTTGTCCAGTCTAATCACTCACTATTGGCCCACTGTTCTGGCTTGGATAAATCAAGTCAAGTCAACAAAGTGAACAAACGTTTTGTAAACTACTTTCTATATTTCAGACAGTGTGCTAACCTCTGGGAATATGAATACTAAAAACACACAAACAAACAAACAAACAAACCAAGACAGCTCCTGGAGCTTACATTCTAATAGGGAAAGAGAATGCATAAAAAGGAACTGAAAAATGGGGGAACGGAGGCAGTTGGGAGCAAGTACCCACACAATGGAGAAGTTTGGAAAGTCAAAAGAAGAGTGTGGAGAGCTAGGTTCATCCCCGCCACTATCCCTTCACTCAAAGGAACTGAGAATTAAAGATCTGGAGTCATTAGGCATCATTTAGTTGGACCCCCTCATCTTGCAAAATGATTAAGTTAAATTTGACCAAGAAAGAAGTGACTTATCCAAGGCGTCATAGAAAGTGGCAGAGGTAAGATTCAAACCTAGGGTCTTAAGCTCCAAACTCATGGTTTTTCCTCAGTATCATGCTGCCTGCATTCATTCCTGACTGTGCTACCCTCTCCTCATTCCCTCACAGATCTTTCATCTGAAGCTATGACCTTAGAATCATAGAGTTAGAGGTGGAAATGACCTTGAAGGTCATTTAGTTCAGCCCCATCATTTTATAAATGAGAAAAATGAGAACCAGGAAGGTTCCATTGCCTAAAAATCACCCAGGAATTCCATGGTAGATGCTGGATTTGAACCTGGATCTCCTGACTCCTGAACCAACCCCCCCCCCCCCCCACCCCAATTCCCAATCCCCTCATGGACCCATGTTGTTTTCTCCATTCTCTAAACTCCTCAAACCTATGAGCGATTACCCTCTAGTCTTTCCACTTTGTCCCTAGAAGGCTCAAACATTACAATGCTATCTCGTGATCTGGGCTAAATGACTTGCCGGACACTGCACATTGAGTAAGTAGTTCAGCCAGCACCACACTACCTCTAGTGGCAAATGATGTCATTGACAAGCATATTTTTACATGTAGAGAAAGGAGGGTGGAACATACAACAATAGAAGTAAGTTAGCCCAACCCCCTCAGTTTACAAATGAGGAAACTGAGACTCAGAGGGATTGAGGGATTTGTCATTGTCACACCTCTTCTGTGGTTGAGTCAGAAATAGAACTCAAGTTGTCTGTCTTCAAGGCTGTCTGGCTCCAAGTGTCAAGCACTCTTTCCACTAGTCTATATTTCCTCTCTAAAAAACAAACTAGCCAAGTATGGGGGTGGATGATGTTAGAGCCAGAAATATGACCTTGGCCTCATGACCTGGAATGACCTAACTCAAAGAAGGCCGAACCATAAATAATTGGAGGAAGTTGCAGAAAGGAGGATTTTAACTTGCTGTGGGTGAGGAACCCACGTTCTAGCCATTAGAGCTGTCCCCAAGTGTAAAGGAATGCCTTGGGAGGAAAGCTCTTCCTCCTCCTGGGAAACCTTCCAGGAGAAGCTGGATGAGCCATGTTCGGGGACATTGCTGGGGAAATTTCTGGTCAGCGCCATGTTGTACAAAATGACCCTTGAGGTTCCTGGCGACTTGGAGAATCTTTGTCGATGACTTTTCCCTCGGACTCTATGCATGAGGCCGGGGTGATTTCCTGTGACTTGGGGGTATTCCCAGGCTACCTGCTGCTCATATTTGAACTTGTACCAGGGCATAGTGCTGGTATATCCTGAGATAATACCAGGAGTCCTCCAAGAAAAAAAAAGGAAAAAAAAACAGGCAAAATGTGACACAGAATCTCCCAACGGGAAGGGACCTCAGACACCAGCTTGTGAAAGTCAATCCTGAGCAAGGATTCCTTTAGCAGCATGCCTGAAGGTAAGTATTGATTAAAGACTGCCAGGGAGAAGGAGCCTATTGACACCCTGGCAAACATATCTCCCCTTTTGGACAACTCTCAGGCCTTCTTTTTTTTTTTTCTTGTGTAAATTTTTTGAGGTTACAGGTATTTCATGTTTGTCTCTATATTCCCAGTGCCCAGTATGGTGCCTTGTACACAGTAGGTGCTGAAGAAAACTATTCCATTAACTGCCCCAGGTTAAGCCTAAATTTGCCCCTTGATAGCTTTTACCCATCTCTTCCTTCTCATGCCAAGAAGAAGTGAATTCCTCTTCTACCTGTAAGCTAATGAATAACTGCAACATAGATAGCCCTTTAAGGTTTACACGTTGTGTTGTGTTCCATTGTTTTTCAGTCATGTCTGAATCTTTGTGACCCCATTTGAGATTTTCTTGGGAAAGACACTGGAGTAGATTGCCATTTTCTTCTCCAGCCCATTTTAACAGATGAGGAAATGGAGGCAAACAAGGTGAAGTTTCTTGCCCAAAGTTAAGTTTCTTACAGCTAATAAGTGTCTGAGGTGGGATTTGAGCTCAGGTCTTCCTGACTCCAAGACCAGCATTCTATCCACTGTGTCACCTAGCTACCCAAGGTTTACACAACACTTTACAAAAATCTCATTTACCCTCACAAGCTACTAAGTGCTATTTTTATCCCCATTTTGCATGTAAGGAAACTGAGGCAGATAAGGGTTGCTAATTATTTGCCCAATGTCACGCAGCTAGGAAGTATCTGCGCCTGAACTCAGGTCTTCCTGACTACAGGTTCATCACTCTAACCATTGTAACCCCTTGTTGCCCCACTCTTCAGATGCATGGGGATCATGTCCCTCCAATGTCCTCTTCTCCATGCTACACACCCCCAGTTGCCTCAACTGGTGCTCATATGAGGAATGTGTTCAAAATCCCACGCTGTCTTGGTTGTCCTGCTCAGGACATTCTCCAGTCTTTCTTTCAATGTCCTGTCTTATTTCTCCCATATTTAAAGGGACAGGTCCACCCTTTGGATGGCAGGGTTCTGGAAGAACACCAACACATTTATTTTCCCCTATTGTCCCCTAAACTTTTGCTCTGCCTGATCCAATGTGCCCAGCTGTGCAGACTTTAGAAAGCTGCTCACAGTGCTCGATTGGAAAGCAGGGAATTCAGGCTTGCTCTCAGTTGCCAGGTCTACAAGGAGGTGGTACCAACCAGGACTTTTCCCCAGGTGCTGACATGCTGGGGAGGGTCATCTGGGGACCACCTTCTAGACATACACCAGCTGCACTCTGACAGGACTGGTGGCAAGGTGGGATTGAGAGACAGAGGAACCTTTGGCAGAGGGTGAGGAAACAGGATCACAGGTCAGCAGAAGTCAGGAAAGTAGGAGAAATGGAGAGGCAGCCCCCTCTCCTGGCAGAACTGAATCTACAAGTCAGACCAGATCTTGCCTTCCCCTGCCCCACCCCACCCCCAAATACACAAACACCTTCATTTAATAAATGTGTTATAGGTGCCAAGATTCCTAGTTGTGAGGCCATAGGCATATTGCTTAACCTCCCATGATCTCAGTTTCCTAATATGAAAAATCAATCAATAAACATTTATTAGGTGCTTACTGTGTGCAAAGCATTGGGAATACAAAAAGAGGCACAAAGCAGTACCTGCCCTCAAGCAACTTAGAGTCTACTGGGGGAGAAAATGTGTAAACAAGTTGGTATAAAGCAAGCTACCTACAGAATAAATAGGGAATCATGAGGGGAGGGTAGGCCCTGGAATTAAGAGGCATTGGGGAAGGCTTCCAGTAAAAGATGAGACTTTTAGATGGGGCTTAAAGGAAGCTAATGGAGGAGGGAGAGCAGAGAGCATTCCAGCCACGAGGGCTGTGAGATAGAATGCCAAGAGGTGGGAGAAGTATTATCTTGTTTATGAAATAGCCAGGAGGCCAGTGTTACTGGATCAGAGAATCTGTGTTGGGAAGTAAGGTGTAAGAAGACTGGAAAGATAGAGAAGGCTAGCTTATGAAAGGCTTTGAATGCAAAACAGAGCATTTTTTATTTCATCCCAGAGGCAATAGGGAGCCACTGGAGTGTATTGAGTGGGGGGGGGTGACTTGGTCAGACTGGTACTACAGAAAAATCACTTTAGTAGCTGAATGGAGAAAGTACTGGAGTGGGGAGAGACTTGAGGCAGACCCACTCGCAGCTATTGTGGTAATCGAGGTGTGAGGTGATGAACTCCACTAGAGTGGGGACAGTGTCAGAGGAGAGAAGGAGATGTATTCAGGAGAAGTAGCAAAGGTGAAATTGAGGCCTTGCCACCATATTGGATATAGTTGGGAGTGAGATAGAGTGAGGAATCCAGGATGACTCCCAGTTGGTTGTGAGTCTGAGGGACTGGGAGGATGGTGTTGCACTCTACAGTAATAGGGACGGTGTATAAGGGAGAATTTAGGGGGGAAAGCAATGAATTCAATTTTGTGTATGTTGAGCTTAAGATATCCACTAGATATCCAGTTTGAAATTTCTGAAAGGTTATTGGAGATTTGAGATTGGAGGTCAGCTGAGAGATTGGATCTGGATAGACCAATTTGAGAGTCATCAGTACAGAGGCAACAATTAAATCCATGGGAACTGATGAGGTCACCAAGTGAAGCAGTCTAGAGGGAGAAGAGAAGAGGACCCAGGACAGAGCCCTGAGGGACACCTATGGTTAGAGGGTGTGATCTGGAAGAGGATCCAGCTAAGGTGACAAAGAAGAAGTGTTTAGAGAGATAGGGCGAGTACCAGGGGGAGGGTCCTGAAAACCCAGAGAGAAGGGAATATCAAGAAGGAGAGTGTGATCAGCTGTGTCAAAGGCTGCAGGGAGGTCAAGGAGAATGAGGATGGAGAAAAGAGATCATTAATAACTTTGGAGAGAGCAGTTTTAGTACAATAAGGTCAGAAGCTGGTTTGTAAGGGGTTTAGAAGAGAGTGAGAGGAAAGTGGAGGGCCCTGTCATAGGGCACTTTTCAAGGAGTTTAGCTACAAGAGGCAGAAGAGAAATGAGACAATAGTTAGTAGAGCTGGAAAGATCAAGTGAGGGGTTTTTTTTCAGACTGAGGGAGACATAAGCATGTTTATAGGCAATTGGGAATGAGCCAGTAGAGAGGAAGAGATTGAAGTTAAGTGAGGGAGGGAGATAAACGAGGGGGCAGTCTGCTGGAGAGGGGATGATAAGGTAGAGGGCTTGGCCTTAGTAAGGAGTAAGGCCACTTTATCATGTGAGACAAGGGTGAGGGAGGAGAGAATGGCCAAAGACACCTGAGTGATAGGAGGTCAGGAAGAGGGAAGAAGGTCTTCAAGGAGACTGACCTTAATTTTTTTTTTTCTTCTGTAAAATAGCAAGGTTCTCAGCTTAGAGAGTGGGGGTGGGGAGGAAGAGCCATGGAGGTTTGAAGAAGGATGAGAAGGTTTGGAAGAGCCTCTGTGGAGAGTGAAAGAATGAGCTGATAAGCGAAGTATAATAGGATTGCCTAGCAGCATCAAGGGCCCAGTTGAGGTTATATAACATAAAATTTGGAGTCGACCCTGTCCAGATTTTCTCCACCTTCATTTGGCATCACATATCCAGGAATGAAAGCATTGGATGGTGAGTTTGGTCCATGGCTGAGGCTTGACTAGGAGGAATGGGAGACATGATGAGGAGACTTGGGATTCATTAGTTTCCTCACGTGAAAAATGAGGGGATTGGACTAGAAAATCTAAAGCTATGACATGACAAACTAGCTTTGAATGGACTTTGGTCATACATCTGCACAAGGGACCAGTGAATGATTGGGGGAACCAGGTTCAGGATTTCTGAATTATAGAGCAAGGAAGGAAGAGGTAGGGTTCTGGATGCCACCTGCCCTGTTGACATCAGGATAGATAATTTCTTTTTCTTTTTTTTTAGGCAATTGGGTTTAGGTGACTTGCCCAGGGTCACAGAGCTAGTAAGTGTCAAGTGTTTGGTCTGAGACCAGATTTAAACTCAGATCCTTCTGACTTCAGGGCTGGTGCTCTATCCACTGCACCACCTAGCTGCCCCTTGGATGGATTATTTCTAAGTCAAGCCAATGAGCATTTATTAAGTGCTTTCTGTGTGCTAGATGCTCTGCTAAATTCTAGGGATAGAAAAATTGATAAAGCCATGGTGCTGTCTAAGGAGGGGATATAACATACAAACAGCCATGTACATACATGATATAGACAGGGTCAAAGCCAGGGCCTGCCTTTAACATCATAGACTGGCATAATTCTGCTATTAGACTCATGAAACTTCAAACTAATATTTCATTTCTTTTTGCTTTTCTCTTCTCTCTCTTTCTTTCTTTCTTTTTTTCCTTTGGTATGCAGATGTTTTCCTGTTTTGGAGATTTCACTGGCCATCCTCATCATTATCATTTCATCACCACCTTCCTCATCATTGTAGCTGTCATTTACATACAAAAACCATGTTAGCTTCCATTTTGTAGAGCCTGGATTGATTCAACTTGCACACTGGGGGAGAATATTCCCATCGGAAATATTCCCCTTATTCCCCCAGGGAAAGGCCAATTGGAAAAACTCCTCATAATATGGCAGTACACCCATTCCAATGTCTAGGTATGGGTATTTGCAAAAATTTTCTCTGTAGCATCCTGTTGTGATGTTCTGCTGTCCTCCAAGTGTGGGCAGTGTGGATGACTCTGAACTCTGGGAAGTCCACAGGAGATTCTTTTCTCCCAAGCAGGACAACTTGTGAGCAAACAGGCAGTTGAGATGAGGCCAGTTTTTATGTGTGTCTTTCCTTTGGTACAGGGCCTTGTAAGATCTAGAAAGGTAGCTGGTGCCTTTCCCCTTCCCAGGCAGCCAAGCCATGCAATATTGGCTACTGGATCAGCTGTGTGGACAACACGAACAGCGAAAGAACATCTGAGAAGGAGAAACCATCAGAAAGAGAAGAGCGCACCTAGCGTTACCAGGGCATACTCAGCACAGATGAATCTAGGAAAGTCAGGGAACACCCCGGCAATAAATGTTCCAAAGGTCATTGAATCAATTAACTAGCATTTTGAAACCCTTCCACACTGAGCTAAGCACTAGGCATGCAGAGAAAGACGAAGCAAAGTCCTTGCTCTCAAGGAGCTTATATACTGGCCTCTTAAATGATTCTAAGCATTCTGTGAGGAATAACATTCTTGATTCACGTTTGTTATCTAAATACCTTTCTCTGGCCTCCCTCTGGGATGGGGTTGGGGGAGAAGGGGGTTGGTTCTCTTTAGATTAGAGTCAAAAATAGAAGTGATCTTTGGGGATTTGAGGTGGGGTTGAATTGGAGCTCCACATTTTGAGGAGTGACCAATTTAGGACAAACCAGCAAGGCCAGTCAAAGACTGTTAGGTGAAGGCTGCCAGGCCTAGTGTTGCCTGTTCTGGCCAGCGGGCTAGATCTCAAGTGATCCTCACAACAACCCTAGGGTGTAGGGGCACAGGTATTTTTGAGGCCCATTCTACATGTGAGGAGACTAAGACTCAGGGAGGCTAGTCTCCAGATATTTCCTGGGGGGGGGGAGGGACCTGATGGTTATTGTTCTGAGCTAACAAATGTCTGTCTGGTTCAGATTTGAGAGGTGAAGGTACGGTTCCTTATTTGGAACGGGGGCTACTTGAAATAGGGTTCAGTTAGTCATTTGCTCTGTGGTTTACCTTTGGGAACATATCACCCCTGGCTCTCGCTTTCTTCTTTAGGAACTTTACCATTGAGCTAGGGAAAGCAAAGAACTATTTCTCAGTTTAGTTTCTGTTTTGGAAGACTGAAGCCTTTCCAGTCCCTTGCTCACTTCTCTGACCTCCCTCTTTTCTTATTAGGGGGATACCAGAAGAAAAAACGAAATGTGACATTATTTTTAAAATGCGAACCAAAATGTTGATTTATTTATTCATTCAATAGCTGTAGATTAAGAGTCATTGGGACAGTGAGGTGGCACACTGTGGAACTGGACTTCAAAAGACCTGAGTTTAAATCCAGTTTCACAAACTTACTAGCTGTGTGACCTTGGGCAAGTTATTTAATCTCTGTTTGTCTCAGATATCTCAACTGTAATATAGGTAGAATAATAACTGCACCTACCTCCCAGAATTGTTGTCAGGATAAAATGAGGTAATATTTATTTTAAATAAGTTCTTAGCATAGTGTCTGGCACACAGTAAATATTATTTAAATACTAGCTATTGTGACCCCGTGCATACAAAACTCTGTGGCACTTGCTCAGCCAATGCAATGTAAATATATTATTATATATTTTGAGGTTGTGTAACAATATGATAATACATAGCACAAGGTACTCCCAGGGTGAGATTTCCTTTTATTCATGCAGCTTGACACCCATTTATGATGCACTAGACAAATCTTAGAGTTGCCTGAGCACAGAGGGGTTTTGTGACTTGCCTGGCGACACAAAACTGATGGCAGGGGCAGAATTTGAACCCAAGGCTTCTGGAGGCTCAGCATCCTCTATACTATACCACACTGCCAAAAATGCATGTCTGTGAACATGGCTTGATAGCTCTTTCCTATATGAATTCCTTCTAACAATGTGGAATCCCTTTCCTGAAAACAGTCGAAAGGAAGGGCAATACAATTCAAGGTTACCAAAAGTTTAAAGCAGGAGTTCTTAATCTGGGATCTGTGAACTCTTTTTTCAAAATGTCATAATACTAGTGTTTCAACATAATTGATTTCCCTACTAATCCTACGCTTTTATTTTATGCATTTAGAATTCTGAGATGGCTCCAGGGACTTCACCGACCACCAAAGGGCCACACCATGTGACTAAGGTGCAGATTCCTGGTCTAAAGGAAAAGGTTTCAAATATGATTCTGATGCTGTCATTGCTTCAGAGCCACAGAGGCACTGGGAGTGTGTGGCCTCTTTCAGATCATAAGCTACTTCCTCAGACAAAAAAAGAGACCAAAAAAGCCACACAAAACTGATGTCTCTTGTTTTCGACATCTCGTTTATTCCCCAATTACTTCTACACACTTGGACCTTCCCTTGTCCCAGAGAAACCCAGTTAAGTGAAACAGATTGAACAAACAACACTAGCAGATAATGGATGTAATGTTCTTTCTCCATAGGCTACCATCCCTCATCCTCTACCTAGATGAAGGAGGTGTGTGTCATCAATTCTTCAGAACCAAGATCTCTCTCTCCCTGTCTCTCTCTCTCTCTCTCTGTCTCTCTCTGTCTCTCTCTGTCTCTGTCTGTCTGTCTGTCTGTCTGTCTCTCTCTCTCTCTCTCTCTGTCTCTCTCTCTTTCTCTCTCTCTCTCTCTCCCTCCCCTCACCAATGTTATCATTTATCAAATGAGATAATATTTGTAAAATACTTAAGAGTGTCTGACATGTAGATGCTTAATAAATGCTTGGTCTCTTCCCTTCCCTTCCTTTCTCTCTATCTATCTACCTACCTATCTCTCCATCCATCTATTTATCTATCTATTATTCTATGTATATACCTATCTTTACCCACCCATCCATCCATCCATCTATCCATCTATCTATATCTATCTCTATGTATCTATTTATCTAAGCATTTATCATTTGTCCATCATCTAGCTATCCATCCATCCACTTATCTATCTATTCCTCCACATATTTTTCTCTACCATCCACCATCCATCCATCCATCTCTATCTATGTATCTATATATGTATGTGTGTATGTATGTATTTATCTATCTATATACAAGCTGGTAGATCCCATTTGAAGAACCCTGGCTCTAGTCCTTCTTTTTAAAATCCTGGAAGCGGAAGACACATCGTCATCAACGTAATCAAAGAGAATTTTCCAAGCACATAACAATACACGACCCTGTTAACCATAGCTTTGGAAACGTCTCTAGACTTTTTTTTTTCAGCCAAAGACAAGGTTTATTAGAACATCTGTTATATTGAGCAGGCTCTTAAGGAGTCTGAACACGAGTAAGCAGGGGCTAGATTTTAGGAATCTGAGCAGTGGCTAGATTATAAGAATCCCAGCTGTGGCTAGATTGTAAGAATCTCAGCCATCTCTAGACTTTTTAAAAAAAATGACTACAATTCTTAAAATATCCTGTTATTAAGGAATTAACTTCTCACTTCTGAGAGGTAATTTAAACCTTTTAAAGAAGAAATTGGTTCATGGTGTGTAAATAGCTTTTTAGGTTGTATTGGATACATCTTAAATGTAGAAAGACAGACAGAGAGAGAGAGAGAGAGAGTTAGGGTATCTCCTGAATGAAAGTAATTACTCACTTCTTGCTGGTAAGCTTATTCTTATGATACATTTCTACATTTGACTTTACAGTTAGAATGCAGTTCACAAGTTCCCAATCACAACAATGGTTCCAAGTTCTGCTGCTTTTTCTAGGGCAAGGTTAAATCATAGTTCTGTCCCTCAGTTTCCTTAGTTGGTGGAATTGTGGGTGTAACCCTTAGCAGACCTATTTCATTCAACATTGTGTCTTGTGACTTGAAATTTTTAGAATCCTAGTCTTCCTTCAAAGCTCACTCAAGAATCTTTTCCTACCCAAAATCTTTCCTGTTCATTCCAATTGCTGACACAACCTCCATTACTTTGTATGGACTTTGTATGTATGTATGTATTTATATGTATATATGTACATGCTGTTTGCCCCCCAATAGATCAGAAGATTTTGTAATTGTGTGCTATTTCCTTAGGGACTTTTTATCTTTAGTGCAAAGCATAGTGTCCAGTGCAGAGAGGCAAAATTATGTTTGTTAGATGAATGAAGGAATATCAGGCTGACACTTGTAGGTAATATCTGAAAGTCTAGGATGACCACACAATCATCAATCAATCAACCAATCAGTTGGCAAATACATTATCCATGAGATAGTAATAATCCCAATGATAATAATAATGATTCAAATTTCGAGAGGACTTAGAAGATTGCAAACCATTTTATGAAATGAATGAATGAATGAAACATTTATTAAGTCCCTACTATGTGTGAGGCACTTGGGATACAAATACAAAAGTGAAACAAGACCCTGTCCTTAATAAGCATACATTCTCCTGAGGAAGACTTCACATAAAGCTGGGTGGTGGCCATGGAAGGGTCTTTTGGGTGGAGGAGTTATGGGGATGCCATGACTCTATATACATTGCCTCATTTGATCTATACAATAAACACGTGAAGTAGGTACATTTCTTTTATTTATTTATTTATAGTTTTTGACATTCACTTCCGTAAGATTTTGAGTTCCAAATTTTCTCCCCATCTCTTCCCTCCCCTCACCCTAAGACGGCCTGCAATTTGATATAGGCTCTATATATACAATCAAATTGAACATTATTTTACATTATATATAATACATATATTATTATTATTATTATTATATTATTTTACATTAATCATGTTTCAAAAAGAAGAATTAGAACCAATAGGAGGAACCACAAGAAACAAGAAACAAACAAAAAAAGAAAAAAAAAGAGTGAGAGAGAGAGAGCAAATAGTATGCTTTGATCTGCATTCAGACTCCAAAGTTCTTTTTCTGGATGTGGATTGCATTTTCCATAATGAGTCTTTTGGAGTTATCTTAGATCCTTGCATTGCTAAGAAGAGATAAGTCTATCAAAGTCAGACATCACACAACATGGCTGTTACTATGCACAATGTTCTCCTGGTTCTGTTCATTTCACTCAGTACCAGATTACATAAGTCTTTCCATTTTTTTTTCTGAAGTCTGCCTGCTCATCATTTTTTATAGTACAATAGTGTTCCTTTACTTTCCATTATCACGGTCCATTACCACAACTTGTTCAGCTATTCCCAAACTGATGGGCATCCCCTCAATTTCCAATTCTTGGCTACCACTAAAAGAGCTGCTATAAATATTTTTGTACATGTGGGTCCTTTTCCCATGTGTATGATCTCTTTGGGATATAGCCCTAGAAGTGGTATTGCTGGGTCAAAGGGTATGTACAGTTTTACAATCCTTTGGGCATAGTTCCAAATTGTTCTCCAGAATGGTTGGATCAGTTCACAACTCCACCAACAATTCATTAGTGTTCCAATTTTCCCACACCTTCTCCAGCATTTATCATTTTCTTGTTTTGTCATGTTAGCCAGTCTGATAGATGTGATGTAGTGCCTCAGATTTGTTTTAATTTGCATTTCTCTAATCAATAGTGATTTAGAACATTTTTTCATGTGACTATAGATAGCTTTAATTTCTTCATCTGAAAACTACCTGTTCATATCTTTTGACCATTTATCAATTGGGGAATGACTTGTAACCTTATCAATTTGACTCATTTCTCTATATATTTTAGAAATGAGACTTTTATTAGAAACACTGGTTGTAAAAATTCTTTCCCAGTTTTCTGCTTCCCTTCTAATCTTGGTTGCATTGGCTTTCTTTGTGCAAAATCTTTTCAATTTAATGTAATCAAAATTACCCATTTTGCATTTCATAGTGTTCCTTATCTCTTGTTTGATCATAAATTCTTCTGTTCTCTATAAGTCTGACAGGTGAGCTATTCCTTGCTCTCCCAGTTAGCTCGCAGTTTCAGCCTTTATATCTAAATTGTGTACTCATTTTGACTTTATTTTGGTATATGGTGTAAGATGTAGATATATGCCTAGTTTCTGCCATACTGTTTTCCAGTTTTCCCAGCAGTTTTGGTCGAATAGTGATTTCTTATCCCAGAAGCCAGAGTATTTGGATTTATCAAATAGTGGATTATTATAGTCATTGACCACTGTGTCTTGTGTACTTGACCTATTCCACTGATTTGCCACTGTATGTATAGCCAGTACCAAATAGTTTTGATGATTGCTGCTTTACAATACAATTTAAGATCTGGTATGTCTAGGCCACCTTCTCTTGCATTTCTTTTCATTAATTCCCTTGATATTCTGGATCTTTTGGTCTTCCAAATGAATTTTGTTATTATTTTTTTCTAACTCTATAAAACAATTTTGGTAGTTTGATTGGCACTGAATAAGTAAATTAATTTAGGCAGAATTGTCATTTTTATTATATTAGCTCAACCTACCCATGAGCAACTGATGTTTTTCCAATTATTTAGATCCGACTTTATTTGTGTAGGTGCATTTCTTATTCACATTTCACAGACAAGGGAGAGATTAAGTGATTGGCCTACTGTCTTATAATTTGAAAGTGTGTGAGGTATGATACAAGTCTCCTTCTTCCACTATGCCATCCTGACATCACTGGACAAAATCGAGCATATTCGCTTATCATCCTAACCCATTTGAAGGTGACATTATGAATGGCTAATAATTATATCTCCTGGTAAGGTATGCTCCATGCTCCTGCCAAAAGAAATATAAGTCTACTGTGGTTAACAGAATAGACAACCACCAGCTGAGGAGAGTCAGAAATGCAAGATTGGAGCCCGTGTTTGGCTGCTTACTAGTTATATGACCTTTGATAAGTCATTTTGCTTTCTGGGCCTTAGTTTCCTCATCTGTAACATGATGCAGTTGAATAAAATGATCTCTAATGTCTCTCTCAGATCTAACCATATGGCTGCTTATTTTTGATTTTAATTTATATGTATGTTAAGTTATATGAATGCTTGTTGGTGGTGGTGGTGTTGGGTTTTTACATAGGTCATTTTATACATACACCTCCAACCCCAAAGCTCTACCCCTCAGCCTAGAATTTAACTTACCCATGTAATAAAGAAAAAAATAATTAAGAGTAATAATAAAGTGACCCCCTGTGATAAATGGTGTGACTTTCTGTTATCCTGGTACCTGGTACCAGGGGGGCGCTCCTTCTCTTTCTTGGAAGGAGGCAATTATGTTTCATTATCTGTTCCCTGGGATCCTTAATTGATTTTAAAAAATTATTTAGACTTGTTTCATTTAGGTTGTTGTAGTGAATTTGTATCCTATCCTTCTAGTTAATTCATTCTGCATCAATACATAAAAGTCTTCCCATGTTTCTCTGAATTCCTCACATTTCTTATTTCTAATTGCAAACTAATATTCCATTATATTCAGATAGTCCACTTAGTTTAGTCTCTCTAGAACTTTCTATGAATCCCATTTTTGCTTACAAATGCTGAGAATAAGTTTCATTATGGTTTAATATGAAGTAGGTATTGGCAGAATATGCAGTCCTATTTGTCTGCCCCAAACCTTCTAGGCTGGCCAGATGGAAACCTGCTGCTCTTGGGGGTGCCCTTCTCTGCTTGAATTCTCATCTACTTCCCTGACTATGGGTCAGGCTGTTTGACTACTCACACTGTTGGGATGAAATGGGAGTCATCAGCTTTATTCCTTATGGTGATATGGAGGACCACTAAACCTTGCCGTATAATCTACTTCTTTGCTCTCTAGACTCATGGCATTATCTTCTGACCTACTGATAAAAAAAAAAATGGACTCCTGGCCATTGCCTTCTACCTTTATGTTGCTTTCTTAGGGTTTCCTGGCCTTTCCATACACTGTGCAACTGAACCTCCTTTCATGTATTCCCTCTCTCAATTAGAGCCTGAGCTCCTTGAGAACAAGGAATGTCTCATTTTTCTATTAGTATCTTCAGTGCTTAGAACATAGTATGTCCTTAAATATGTTTTTCCATTCATTCATTCATTCACTCATTCGTTCATTCATGGCATATGCCCTTGAAATTGTGAAATATCTTTAATTAGATAGGGTTACAATAAGACTGAGCTCTTCAAATAAAGTCCAGAGATGCTTCAAGTACAGTAAATTGCTTTTAGCAGTGAGTTAGTTGGAAAAGTGTATTTAAAAGAGTATTTAAATATTTAAGAGTAAAAGGCACTTAAAAGAGTTCTGGTTGCAGATGTCAAATGAATCAAAGTGTGAATTAAGTGAAGAGGGGGACAGCTGTCTTCTTTTTTGTTCATGCTCCTGGCAAAGGGATTAAAGACTCTTCAAAGAGCCTGCAGTCTTCTCAGGGTGCCTCACTGACATGTCATCATCCTTGTCTCTAAAAAACCCAGTGAGGAAGGCAGCATGTTTCTTGTTTTACTTTTTCCCTTGGACACCATTCTTGAAAACCTTCACCTGGATGAAATCCCTCTCGGACGATTTTGAACAGCAGAAATCCTCCTTGGAGATTCCAAAGATGCTACACCATAGCCTTAGCTGATGATGATAAATATCATGAGCCACAGGGTAAAAAATGTGACGATTAGGTGTGTTCCTTTGGAGGCTATTTCCTGGTATTTATTATCTTGAAAATGACATTTTTTAAAAGAACAATGGATTTATATACAGGAGTTTGATGGAGTCTATTGACTCATGCCCCTGACTAGAATTGCATGGGGAGTGAGATGGATGTCACTGGGGGCAGGGATGCATCAGAGTGTCAAACCAACCAATCAACTTGCTTTCCTAGTGGAAACAGGATCATTCTGCCACCAACAGCAGCTGGACCAAGCACATGACCTTGATGTGAACTGCTCCCCAGAATTGACTGGCACAGGACAGGTTGGTACTACATCTGGAAATTTACAGGGTAATCATGACAGGGTAATACAAGGACAGTGTGACCCAGGAAACCCATGTGCCCAGCAGTGCTGGGTGTCTGTCTGAAAAAAAAAATCAAGCTTGAAAGGGGAGGGGGAATTTTAGGAAGGCTGATTTATGTTGTGGGGTGTTGGGGGGGAGAGTGCAAACTAATTTGTCTGCTTCTGTCAAGTCTCATTCGAGGAAATCAGCTTGAAGGGTGGGGCTTGGGATTGCTCCTTTCAGGGATGCTCTACACAGGACAGGACTGGATGACATTCTGAACATCTACTGGAAAGATGCCTTAAAACTTTACAACAGAATTTTAGGCATGGCCTTGTTTTCTGTGGGAGCCTCCCTTTCCTTCTTAGGATTCAGGAGGGTAGGAACTGTGCACCTCTGGGTGCAGAAGAGAAGTGATCTGCTCAGGTCTTGGAGGCATTCACCCTGGGAGACAAGTTTTTTTTTTTTTTGGTTGTTGTTCATTTGAAGGGGAGAGACTGAAAGACAGAGAAACAGAGGGAGACGTCAGAGACAGAGTGGGGCAGGAGAGAGATGGAGGGAGAGACGCACACAGATAGAGAGACTGTGCTAAGCACTAGGGACACATATTTAAGCAAATGAGATATTTAAGCAGAGTAGTCAGCTGAACCTTTGTGTTATAAAGGGATCCAGGAAAAGTTACCACTAATTACTATTACCACCACCACTACCACTACTATTGCTGCTGCTGCTGCTACTACTACTTGAAAAGAGTAAGTATTTATGTAGCACCTACTGTGTGTCAGACACTATGATAAGCACACTACACACATCTCCTTTGATCCTCCCAACACCTCTGAGTGGGAGGTGCTGTTATCCCCATTTTACAGTCGAAGAAACTGAGATTAACAGAGATTAAGTGACTTGTCTAGGGTCACACAATTAGTAAAGGCTGGATTTGAACTCAAGTCTTCCTGACTCCATGCTAGTGCTCTGTGCACTGTGGCACCCCCTAGCTGCCTTAAGAAAAAAAACAAAACAACAAAAACAAAACAAACAAACAAAACAACTTGGCTTTAGACCAGACCTATGATTTCATTGATCTAGGGAAATCCCAATGAAGAAGCTTCCTCCAACAAAAAGGATCTGCATCTGTTCTGTAGTAGGAGTAATAATGATAATAGTAGTAGCTGTAATAGTGATGGTAATGGTGGTGGTGGTAGTAGCAGTAGTGATAATAGTAGTAGCTGTAGTAGTGGTGGTAGTAGTAGGAGGAGGAGCAGGAGTGTTGGTGGTGAGGGGTGGTGGTAGTAGTGATTATAATATGGTGGTAATAGTGGTGGTTATAGTGATGGTAATAGTTGTAGTGGTAGTAGTAGTAGTCATAATAGTACTACTAGTGGTGGTGGTATTAGTAGTAGTAGTAATCCTAGGAGTAGTTGTATTAGTAGTATTGTTAGTGGTAGCAATGGTGGAAGTGGTGGTGGTGGTGGTAGTTGTAATGGTAATGATAGTAGTAGTAGCAGCAGTACTAGTAAATAAAAGTATTAGTAATAATAATGATGAGGAGTATAACATAACTCACTTCTATCAGCTCTACGATTTACAAAGCACTTTCTTCACAACAACCCTAGGAGATCCCATTAGAAATGTGATTGCCTCCATTTGACACATCAGGAAAAAGTGTCCCAGGAGTTAGCTCTTTGCCTAAGGTCACACTTCACTGACTCCCAAACCCAGTGTTCTTTCTGGAGGAAATGTCCTTTGACCTGTACTCTCTGGAAGGTCCTAGTTCTTCCCAAGTACCATTGACTAGAAGAAAGTGACATCCCCTAGTTCCCGTTGGATTTGGGGAGCATCGGACCCTGCACATCTCCTCTCTATCGCTGGCCCCCCAGACTTTTCCAAGGACCTGGGAATCACATTGGGGTTTTCTTTGCTTTTTCATCAGGTGAGAGATAAAGACAAGACAGAAATGCCCAGAGAAGTTGGAGAAGACACCATTGAGACAATGGAATGTCCACTAACGCTTCGAGACTTCAGAACTCTGATCAATGTTGGAACCACGTGAGAGTTGGAGGCCTGAGGCAAATGATGCTTCAGTCCCCCTACAAAGAAAGGATGGGGGAGGGGGGGAGGAGGGAGGGGGGGGGGGAAGGAAAGGGGGGGAGGGGAGCTCCAAGTGCCTAATGACTCACGCTTTGTCAGGTGGAGTCAATATGTTTGTTGTGCTTAACTGTAGTTCCTTGTTTCAAGGAAATGCTTGGGGGTTGGGAAGGGGGGGTTGACACTGTCGAGAAGTGAGTAGTACAAAAAAGACCACCAATAGGCAAAAGGAAAAAAAAGTGGAAAAGAATCAGTGTGATTTTCTCCTTGTGCACCAACCATTGATTCCTTTCAGGCTCCCTCCCTAGGTGATGTTGCAGGAGGAGTGGGAGAGGCTACTTTTTCCAAATGTCTGTGATGGCATCTGATCTCCATAGCATTTTCACTCTCCCCTCCCACCCTGCCCCTCAACACACCTCTATAGAAGCCCTTCTCCAGTGGCAAAGTCACAGCATGTCACCTTCTTAGAAATTTCACCCAGTAAGAAACTGGTGGCTTGGGATTATTGTCTGCAGGTAAGTTTACTATTTTAAAGATTTAAAGTAAGTCCAAGTCAGTGATTGTGTGTGTGTGTGTGTGTGTGTGTGTGTGTGTGTAGGAACAGGGGAGGGTGGGTAAGTGGTGAATGAAGGGTGCGGGGCTAGGGGTACTCCTTTGTAAGCATTAAAATGATTGCTCGGGAAATCTCCCTGAAGAGCTCTAGGCAGAGAAGGAACGCCAGCTAGCCGAGTCATTTTGTTCTTTTTCTTTTCCTTTTGGCCTTCCCAAGTGGTATGTGTCCCCTCCTCCCCTGGGTGAAACTGCGGGTCCACACCCTTCTCTCCTGGTTTCAGGTAGCAGGTTGGGATTGTGGGTAGTGTAGTTCACCCCCCTTTGATGATTTAGGGTTGGGCAGGACTGAAGCAGAAGCAGGAGGACTTCGAGTCCCATACAGCACTGTGAGCCGCAGCTGGTAGCCACAGGACAAGGTGTGTTTGAGGAGGAGATTACTGTCTGTCTCTTGCTAGAGTGGCTCATTTTTCCACCCTTGGCAAGCACGGAAAGCAAGCAGGGTCCAGATCTCTGTCCCCTACAATCATGTCCTGATTGGTGCCTGGAGTAGCAGCTGGGGCTTGTTTCCAAACCTGTAAGTGCGTCTTGTTTGCCTTGAAAATGCCTTGCTTCTCTGCTCTGATCTTAAGCTGGCAACCTGGGGAGAATGGGGTCATTTCCAGATAATCCCTGAGCCTTCTCCATGGTGTTTTTTTTTTCCCTTCCACAGGCAGAATGGAAAGTCATCTTCAAGGAAGGCTCTAGAAAAAGAATCCTGAACCATTTAGCTAAGGGAAAGTGTGGGACGTGAGAGGTTGAGTGCAGGCATGGCTCATGGGGCTTCTTTCTCAGAGAAAACTGGGAGTTTTCAGGCTTGCTGCTGGAGCAGGGTCTGGAGTACTCCAGCCCAGTTGGTGTTTATCTCAATTCATTTGGATTTTTGCATTAATGACAGGCAAAGGAGGGTGGTAGAGATTAGTCCTAGTGGCTGCCCCACATGACTCATGCCTCCCTCTCCATTTTTTTCAGGAACTTCCCACTTAGAAAGCAAGTCTAAGGTTCAGAGCAATCTTGGATCATTTACATTTGTGTCCAATCTCCAAATTATAGTCATTAAAATGTGTCATTTCAGATGTCCAAGGTCAGTTTCTGAACAGATAAAGTCACAATAATCTAACACTTGGATTACAGGGTTAATTGAAGAGAGTGACTGATATGGTTCCAACTGCTTCTGTCTATAGGCACAGCATTTCATTGAAGAGAAGAAAGTGATGGACATTAAAGAGACCAAATGATTAGACCTGCCTCATGGCCAACTCACTCAGGAAAGGTCAGATCAAAACATTATTTATCTTGGCTGCTTCAAATTCATTTCCCCAAGTGTAATCCAGGAATAGATGAATACTTATCTATTAAAAACAAAAACAAAATGAGAGGGTTGGATAAGCTCTCCATAAGCCTTTCAAACCCTGGGGTAGGTATGGATCTGTGATTTCCTTAGTACAGGGAACTCCCAGGTGAGGAAACTTCCTTTACGAGTGTAGATCAACACCAGCTCTGCAACTGGCGGTGTTATTGTGACTTTCCCAGAGTCACATAGTCATTATGTGTTAGAGGTGAGATTTGAACCTAGATTCTTTTGTCTTTGAGGTTGGATCTCTGGCAAGTCAGGCAAAGTTGGGAAAGCTGTGAGTTGGAAAGTCAATTCTCTCTAGATGTCCCCTTCTTTTTTGTCGAATGAGGCACTTTGGCTGGATGGTCTTTTTTTCTTTTTACGTTCAATGTCTCTTCATAGGAAGCCATACTGAATTGGTTGGTAAGGTTGGGATCAAATCATCCTCCTTATAAAGGGCTCCAGGGTTTTTTGGACCATGTTTCATTTAACTTAGTAATTCAGGAATGCTAAGCTTTCAAATAACTTTGTGCCCACAGTTAATTATTATCCACACTTTGAATTAATTGAACAATTCTAATGGTAAAGCCTTATCAAGTTAGATAAGCAATGGCATTTGTTTTAAGTTAGCTATCTAAACTGAATACTTTGTTAACATTACCAATATTGCTTAATATTTCAATATATCAAGTCTATGATTTCATCAATGTGAGTACTTCCTGCGTGCTACTAAGGCAACTTTAGATGGTCTTGGAGAGTTTCCAAAGCTGCAGAATTCTACATGCTATGACTAAGCTGGTGATTAGCCTCTGCAAACTTTTCTAGGCAATTTTTCAGTCCTTGGACAGCAGATATAATCTCCATGAATCCAAAAGACAGTACTTGAAACATGATAAACACTTAATAAGTGTTCATTCATTCATCCAGTTATTCGTGATGATTCCCTATTTCATTTGGAATATTTCATCTGGGCATTTCAACTTGGGTTACGTGGTAGGACTTGGGCTTTCCTGGAATCATATTGGGGAGTCCATGGTCCCCTGCTCCCACCAATTCTAGAATGATAATTAAAACTTTTCGAAAAGATTTCTTACAATCACATCCTTAGAATTTTTGATATCTTATGACAGGAAGAGTAAAAGGGAATTAAGGAAGACGTAACAGAAAAGGAAACATTTGAATTGGGCTTTCAGGTAGAAATTGAAGAGGTAAAGGAGGGAGAAAGAGGACTTTCCAGGCTTAGGCAATAGGGAGGGAAGGAGCATGGAGTTAGGGAAGTAAAATTGTGTTGAGGACACATCAGATAATTCAGCTATCCAGAAATGGAACATGCTATCTTAAGTGCCCCCTCATTGGAGGTTTCCAAGTAAAGGCTGGATCACCATTTATTGGGTATCTTATATGATCAAATCCATCTATTTTAGTTTTTAAGTGATTTCCTACCTCCTGCTTGGTTCAAACTTCTCCCCTTAGTTGTGGCTAAATAATCAGTAACAATTTGGTGATGAGCTGGGCTCATGGAGGCTGGGCCTTGGATAGCAGACACAGGCCATTGTTGGAAGCATACTTGAAGCCTTCCCCACGTGATAGGATGTGTCAGGGCCTACGCTCATTTGGCATAGTATTTGGCAGCCCAGGGTCACTTCCATCAATCTTATGAGGAAGAATTGGAACATCATGTGCTAGCTAATTAGGTAAAAAGATAAAATACATGAAAGAATTATAGAATTTCACAGTGAAAATGGTCCTCATCAGCCTTTTAGTCCAACTCATATGCCAAAGGCATCCTCCCTCTAAACTACCTAACAAGAGATGATCCAGCCTCTGCTCAAAAACCTCCAAGGTGAAGGATCATTTATGATAAATAACAATATTAAAATCAACAAGATATTTTGCTAAAAATCCAGGGGTCAGGTCACACATTGCCTTTGGACAGGAGAGCCAAAGAATAGTGTGACAGTAACAGTGGGGACAAAGACTGTAACATTTCCTCATGCTCTCTGTGAATGGGAAGAGGGGTACCTGCCAGAGAGGGTGGTGAGAATGTGGAGTTTTAAGGGGAAAGCCAGGCTTTAGTTAAAGGGAGGAGCTAAAGAGGAGTATTGGTTGAAAAGTTCGTGGATTCAGGGGAGATTGTTGAGAACGGAGGGACGATGACTCGAAGGGTGCAGTGGAATGGACGTGACAATGAATAACTTTGACTCTGATGGGCCTTAGCAAGAGGAGAACTCTGGAGGATGTAATAGGGACAAGTAGCTTTTATTTGGAGTACTAGACCAGGATGGGGCAGCTAGATGGCACCATAGTGCATACAGCACCAGGCCTGGAGTCAGGAAGACTCATCTTCCTGAGTTCAAATCTAGTTTCAGACACTTACTAACTCTGTGACTGTGGGCAAGTCACTTAACTCTGTATCAGTTTTCTCAACTGTGGAAATGAGCTGGAGAGAGAAATGGCAAACTACTGCAAGAAAACCTGAAATAGGGTCACAAAGAGTTGGACATGAATGAAAAATGATGGAACAATGACAAAAACTTGAATAGGGAACCAGAAGAGACTTTTGAGTTTTAAATTTTTCTCCCCCTCCCTCCCCACCTCTCTCCCCAAGATAGCAAGCAGTCTGATATAGACTCTACATATACATTCCTGTTAAACATATTTTCACATTAGTGATGTTGTAAGTAAGAATTAGAACCAATAGGAGGAACCACCAGAAAGAGGAAACAAAACACAACAGAAGAAAAACAATAGCAAATAGTGTGCTTCGATCTGCATTCAAACTCCATAGTTCTTTCTTCATATGTGGATAGCATTTTCCATCACGAGTCCTTTGGAGATGTCTTAGATCCTTTGTATTGATGAAAAGGGTTAAGTCTATCAATATTAGTTATCACACGATGTGATTGCTACTGTGCACAATGTTCTCCTGGTTCTGCTCACTTCACTCAGCATCAGTACATGCAAGTATTTCCAGGTTTTTCTGAAGTCAGCCTGTTCATCATTTCTTATAGCACAATAGTATTGCATTATATTCATATACCACAACTTGTTCAGCCATTCCCCAATTGATGGGCATCCTCTCAATTTCCAATTCTTTGACACCACAAAAATTGCTGCTATAAATATTTTTATACATGTGGGTCCTTTTCCCAGGTGATTGTTTTGAGTAGTTCTGTGGAAAGTGAATTGGGAAT